AGAGATGGAGAGGGAACGGAGTGGAAACAGTTGAACAAGACCGAGTGAAATGGACCGGCTCGTCAAACGGAGGAGGGGAGGAGAGAGAGAGAGATGGGAGGTAGGTGTTTGCCTCTCTCGGACGCTAAAACCCCGCTCCTTTGCTTCTCTAATTTTCCAGCCTTTTCTTCCTCCTCGCAGTCTCGAGCGTTTAATTAACTTGCTCGTTCGTTCTTCCTCTTTTCTTCCTGGCATCGAGTGTCATTCTCAGCCGACGATAAAGCGTAAATTCGCGCGTTCACGGCTCGTATGTACGCGTACTCGAAAGAATTTCAATTTGCCCGCGTTACGTTACTAAATGTAGCGAGTAAACTACGACGAGGGAAGAGGGGGAAAGGAAGAAAAACGCGTCGACAAAATTTACGCGTCGTCGAGAAACGAATTTGCGTGATGCGACGTAAATAAAAAAAACAGTGTGAAAAACAGATTAAATTCGAAGATAAATAAAAGCGGAGAGACATTGAATAATAATACATCGAATAATAGGTCGAATAATAAATCGCACGAAGTGGAAGAAATATTTACAAATATATATTTATATATGTATATATATATATAATATATAACGTATAATACACAGAGAGGATCGAAGATTCTTCTGTTCTTGTTCGGAAAAATTAATAAAAAGAGAAAGACTTACTCACGGCATGATCGCAATCCTTTCTATCGTTTAAACTTTATACATAGCTTTTCTTTTTTTCGATATCTACGTGAAATTCGACGAGCAAAAGTATTACTCTTTCTCGCTATTTCTATCTTTTCTTCTATTTTTCTTCTTTTTTTTTTAACCATCATTCTCTACCATTTTCACCTAACGAAAAATTCGAAACAAAAGAACGTTACGAAAAAAAAAAAAGATCGAAAGAACGAAGTTATCGAGCTTCGATGTATAAAGGATCGAGCTAAATATATGTATATTGCGCGTGCCGTGTATGAACATCGTCCGTATGTACACGCGTGTCGTGGAACGAGGACAAGTGTGAAAAGATTTAAAGTAAGTACGAGCGTGGAAAGGAAAAGCGTTTCGCGCGAACGCGTTGTATAAATTGGAGAAAAAAAAAAAGAAAGAAGAGACTTTAAATTTAAAAAACGAGATTCCTCCAACAATATGGATATAACATCGTTATCTCTTTTCTCGATACGAAGAATTCTCGAAAGTACGAGTCCAAGTAAGATCCATCGCTAGATTCGATTCGAACCACGATCATGAAGGGTAAGAGAGAGAGAGAGAGAGAGAGAGATGCTTCTCTTCTTTCCTTCGCGTTTTAGGTCCCTTTCCCGGAAAAAAGTAACAGGTATACGTTTCTGTGCGCACATAGAGAGCGGTACGTACAAGATATGCGTGGTAATATGCTATAATAATATCGACACACGTCTGCAAACACGTAGACATTCAGAGGCACAAATAGCGGTCCTTGCGATCAAGCCGCACGTGGGTTGGGATGAGAAAGCTTGCCGCGAATTGTACCGAAGAAAGAGAACGAATGGGCGTCGAAAGATCGAGGGAAAAGTGGATGCGCATTGAGGACGAAGGAACAACCACCTGTTTCGAAATATTTTTTTGCGCATCTATTTCCTCGATCGTACTTGCGAAAGTCGGTTTTAACGGCTGTTACTCAACACACACGAGTGTATATGTTCGACTTTCGCAAGAAGGGCAAGCTTTTTTTTTGAAAGTATATATATATATATATTTTACAAAGAATAAAAACAGAGAAGTGAGAAAAAGAAGAAGAAGAGAAAGAGGAAGAAAGAGAAGAAGAATAAAAGGAAGTAAGAAGATAGAACGAGAGAAAAGATGAAGGAGGAAGAGGAAGAAGATCAGAAGACGAAGACAAAGCAACACCACGAACAAACGGTAGACCATAGACAAAAAAATATACGATCGGCAATAATGTGCGACAGTGTCTGTGTCCTTTTTTCTTTTCATGTGTCTGTGTGCGTGTGACTGGTTGCGTGTTCTCTATTTTTTATTTTTTTTTTATATATTTTTTTTTCTTTCCATTTTCTTTGTTTTTGATATGATACCTTGGCACTTCATGCCCTGGTGGATGACACCATAGAGAAGACTACCGCAGTGGTCACAGAAGGTGGGGCTGTTGTAGGTGTGTTGCTTGAATTGGTGCTTCGTCCGCGTGTCCTGCGTTATTACACCATTACACCGTGCACACACACGCAGACTCTTGGGTTATAGGCGTGGGGAAGGAGAATCGAAGGAGAATAAACAGAGAAGAAAGGAAGGAAGGAAGGAAGGAAGGAGACGATTTCCCCGACAAGCGATAACTTTCGTCTCTTTTCGTGTCTCTCTCTGATCCAAGTTTGGAAACAGAGTTGGCAACCGTGAAACCGAACACCTTCGGTTCGGCGTGGCTCGATGCCATTCCGTACCGTGGTGGCCGTTAAACCGTTCGAGTTATCTTCTCGCTTTCTCTCGACTACGAACGCGATTACGAATTCGATTATTACGTTAGATTCGGGCATCGCTATTCAGGGGAATCGAGGCGCGATTCGAAAAAAGGAAGGACGATGGTTTAAGGGTTTTTTTTTCTTTTTTTCGGGATTATCGAGAAGAAGAGTCGTCTTCGAAGCACAGAAGCACAGGAAGGAAATCAGCACCAGGGCCAAGGAAGACGACGCTAGGACATTGATCGTTTTAGTCGAAGTATGAATAAGAAAAAAAAAAAAAAATCATTCCTTCCGCAGTGATGAGGAAAAAACGTTCGCGACTCGGAAGGAATTGATTGGTGAACTGATCGCGAACGAGTCGAGAACGTTGTTCCCGGAAATTTTAAAACCGTGGTTTTGATTTTTCCAACGCGCATAATTTCCCTTTTATATATATATATATTATATATATATATATATTACTCGTCCGCATAATTATATTCCGTGTTATAAGCGTGGTTAAAACGAAGCGCAGTAAACGCTTAAGGCCAATCGTGCGCGGTGCGAGAAAACGTGAAGAAATGTATATATATATATATGTGTATATATATATACATATATATATATATATATAGCTCTTAGCCCCGGATATCCTTTCTCTGTTTGCTCCAGCCGAGGATCATTCTTATCCTTCTCTGATCGTCGCGATATACTCGACTTTTGGCGACTTCGTTTCAGCTCGTTATCCTTTTTCTTCCTTCTTTATCCTCCCATTCTCTCTTCTCTTTCTCTCACGCACGCGCGCTCGCACACGCACACACGTACATCACCCAACGTCTTTTGTTCTTTTTCTCTCTCATCTACGTACTCTCGTCGTGTCGTATGGATTATCGATAGTCAACATTCGTATACCGAATCGAATGTTTTTAATTAGTAAGATGAAAATAGCGATATATACAGTTATTACAAAATAAACGCCCTGTTGCGTTTGGGCGCTCGTGTCATTGATTAATTCGCGTTCACTGGGGGAGAATGAGAGAGAAAGAGATGCAGCAATAATCGCCATTTTCCTCCCCCCTCCCTTGAGAGAGAGAGAGAGAGAGAGAAATCACCGCAAGGAGTGTCTCCCCTCCACCAATTTGAACGAATCGGCACGCGGCGATCGAGGGAAGAAGTCGGATACACGAGCTGCCAATCGAATCGCGATCGCGAGATTTCATTGGTCCTTGGCTTAGGACGAAAAAGAGAAAGGGGCGATAAAACTGCGTCGAGAAAGAAGAATAATAAACGAACAGAAATCGTGTCTAACGAGATACGTGGTTGCTCGATACTCACGTCGGAATCAGCTCCTTTGTCGGCGCCAGGGCACGTGAAGGTCACGTATTCGTGACATCGTTTGTGAACGACGAAACTGCAGACTGGAAATGTAAACAAAATGGAGGCGAAGGTGTTTCACGGGTAGTGTTTCGAATCGCGGGAGCCTCGAACGAGTTTCTTACCTTGACATTGGTACCCTTGCTTCCCGAAGCCCCTGAAACAAAAGTTTACGTTCCGTCATTCGTTCGTTTCATCGTTCTCTCTCATCGTTGTTCCCGTTGGCCAAGTAAGCTAATAGTTGTACGGTAACATCATTCATTGCTGTTCGATTCGTTTGTCGAAAATGGAGATGAAAATATTTTTTTCCCGAAATGAATACCGATAATTTCAAGGAAACGATAAAAATTTACTATTCCGTCGCGTATTGTTAATTTTCATGGGCAATCAAACTCCTCGAATTTTAAGTCTCGCCTCGATGACGAGATGAAATTCGGCTTCTCCAAACGAAGATATGATTGTCAATGTTAGATTATGAAAAGTGAAAAGTTTCCAACGTGGCATCCGTTTATCGATAATCTGACGCGCAACGCCTCTGTAATGGTTGACTGTTAACGATTAAATCAGCTTCAACGAGCAGATCGATATTTCAAGGTTTGAACAATGTATCAATAATAGGTTTCGATTTGAGACAATAAAGCGTATCGAATTGGCCGTAATTCCCTTAAAAACGATGATAATGATGAGCTAAGAAACATTGAGAAGATACGAAACATTGGATGGATCGACTGTAACGATCCTTTTGTTCGATCGAAATATATCGAACTCATCGAGACGATTTTCGAGAGCGAAAAAAATTGCGGAAATAAAGTAGAGCATGAAACGAAAAGAAGGGAAAATTGAAAGAAGACACGTGTAATTCGAGAAGGAAAGAATAAGAAGGAGAAGAGGAGAAAAATCGATGCGAATCCCCGATTAGCCTACATTTCTTCGAAGCTTAAATCGAAACACGCGCGGTTGTTGCATCCAAAAGGTAGTTGATGAGTGGATGGCGAGGGAATAACTACGTTCCATCGATCTTAATTGTTTAATATTATATCGCTCATCTTTTTACGTTTTAAAGATTGGATTCTAATCTCATCCATATGGAAAACTCGAAGGCGCGAAAATTTAAAATTATAGGCTCGTTAGAAAAACGAAAATCGACGTGTCGATCGAAAAGGTATAGAAGGATGCACAACGCTCAAGGTGTGAGCGCTTCTAACACCTAGTCGCTACGTGTACACGCATATGTATGCCATAGATGTTGTGCAGCGTTACTATAACTGGAATGAGACGAGTAGACCGGTTCTATTTTCGATCCGAGATGCGCCACGTATCGTGAGCAGCCGCCCTTTGGAAAATTAAGGTCGATTTAGTCGACCGGTTCGGCTATCGGAGCCGAAAGGGAGCGTGTGTGCCGCTCGCCCGATATCCTGCTATCCGACACACGATCGCCCAATAATACGAATTGTTGCGAGAGTTCAAACGAAAATGCGTTTCGTCTCTCGTGTAGAGCGAACACCGAAAGCGAAATCCGATACCGAGAGCGAGGTTGAAAAAGTTTGCGTTTCAGTCACTATCGGTATGGGGTTAGAGTAAGATTTCCGATTGACCGATCGATCAAATCCGGCAAGCAATTCGAGAAGAAAAGCTATCGAAATTGATAATGAGAGAAAATGATGGAAGAATCGGATTTGCGTTTGTCAAGAAATTGGGAAATCTAGTTATACTCGAGACGACAGCTAGAGAAACGAAATTAAGATTTTTCAATTTTTGTTCACGAGGAAAGGTAATCGATCGTAAAATTATACGCGCATAGATGGATATAGATTCGAAGAAGGTGCTTCTTGAACCGTGACGGGTTTCCCGGGCTAATCGACGACGACCTTACCGATCCGCGCAAGAATCCATCGAAAGCCTTTTGTTCCAAGCTAATTGGGTTCGCTCGGTTTCCATCGATTTTCTACCATCCTGCCTCCTCCTCCCTCCCCTCTCACGGACCGCAATGAACCGCAACGGACCGCTAAAAATTCCCAAACGAAGCGTACTCGTGCGCGCACCGTCACGTAACTCTCTCTCTCTTTCTCTTTCTTTCTCTTATCTCTCGTTGTTCGAAATTACGATCGAACACCGCATTCCTATTCCTTCGAAAAAAAAAAAAGTATTTTGTCGATTTGAAAGGAAGATTTTAAAAGAGATCGAAATACTTCGAGTGAGATGGAAAAATTCAACAGGCAGTTGGGAACCGCTGGCCAAAGGCCAGACCACGCTCGCTTTACTAGATTTCGCGTGAAGCGGAATTTCTTCGTGCGGAATATATCGTGAAATGATATATATATATATATATATATGGGTCGGAAAAATATCGTGAATAAATCGTCGCAGCGATGTCTTTTTTAGTTTCGAACAGACAAAATTTCTAAGGTCATTCCACGAACGATTCCGTTGGTGAATCGAAATTCAAAGTTATTCAATGTTGTAAGTAACCAGTCGCGGCAATACGATCAACGCGATAGGATTCTCGTGAATTCTCGAGGAATGACCGGGATTATCGGAATCCGTGTCCTGAAATTCAGTCGAATTTCAAGTATACCGGACGAACACACGTACGAATAAAACGGAATAGGTTTGTTTGTTCGGTAATCGCAACGTTTACTTTTCAACGCGTCCTATTCGAATTCTCTTTTTTCCAGATTGCGATCGTTTCGTAAACACTATATTCCATTATCGTTCGTCACATTCGATAATGTAATTCTATCGCCTTATCATTGTTAAGTGAAAAATCGAGAAAAATGTTCCAGAATACAACAACGAGACAGTTTGACATTTGCTATAATTACATACCGACACCAACCAGACCTATCTTTAAAAATCGAAATACGTAAATTCAACTTTATATCGAATCGAAGATATTCGATCGATCGAAAATATGCGCTATCGAATTAAGCGTGATATAAATTACGTAGTTTCGTTTAATCGAAGCACATCGATAGATCGATGTTCATCCAAGAATAACGAGTGAAATTCTCGTGCGACAACATTTCGCGTTAAAATTCCATTAAAATTAACGCGGATAAAAGTTCCGTCGATTTACGAAACTCGAGCTCGCATCGTTTCGTTTCGTTTACTCGCTACTAGCAGCGCTGCTCCGCCATTAATCCAAACCACGTATCGTTATCCGCGCATCGGTGCTTCGTAATGAGCATTCAATTTTTTTTTTCGCTATCTTTATTCGCAATATAATCCGATCAATCGACGAAGAAGCGCGTTTTTTCTCCATCTTATTTCGTCCGAGAAGAAAGAAGAGAGGGATAACATTGATCGAGTGTTTTCGAATGTTTGACGTTACCAAACGATCGAGTGCGCGTCACAATAGAAAAGAAAAACGTAAGCATGTAATTAAAGACGAATCGTGCGCGCGTTCGTATTCGTTGTCCTGACACGGATAAAGCAAGTTTCGTCACGCGAAACCGCACAACTCGATAACGACTTATGGTTTTAAATACGTTACGCCTCACGATCGGTACACGTGATTTACGAATAGACAGAAGCCAGTGAAATATAATAAATCTTGCCGGTCATCCATGTCGATCCTTTTGTCGATCCTTGGAAAGACGTTCGCATTGGATAACGAATAAGTAATTCGCTGTTTTCTTTGGAAAAAGAATTGGATAGAAAATATGGCATCATTCTCGTCTTTTATCGTTTCGTAACGCGGTATAGTGACGTATTTGTAACAACTCGAATGGTGAAGTGAAATTTTTACTCGCGGACGAGAAGAGAAAAAATAGATTTAATTTTCGCTTTGATTATACATAGGTCTGATTAGATCTGATAGATCGGATTGCCTCGATTGATCGAAAAGAATCATAGATACAGAGATGGATCATGGTTAACCGCGTTTGAAACAATTTAACCTAATTATCGCCGATCTCTTTAACCGAATCAAACGAAGGAAAATCGAACGAATCGAACGAGAGGGAAAAAACGACAATCGTCAGAAGGATGGAAACGATTTCTTCGTCGTCGTTTCGTTTCACATTTCACGTTCTTTCGCATTTTGCGGCAAAGAAGGCGAACGAAACAAAAGATAGGAAAGAATTGGATCGGAAATGTCTGTTGCGTCCGTTCTGAACGGCAAAATCGATGTCGGCGAAACAAGTTAGTTTGGTTACTGGGTCGCTCGCTATTGTGCGTCAATGCCTGTAACCGTTTCAACTACGAGTAAATGTTACTCGTTAGACACCGTCCGGGTTATGACATACCGTAACGTTCTTTTTCGATCGATTTTAACGTCCCGATCGATCGTTTACATATCATTACCGGTATAACCGGTTGATCGAAATCGCATTGAAAATAAGATAGATCGAACTTTAACTGAAAAAAAAAAATTTCTTACGCAATATACGCGATATATATATCCTATTGTTGATTAGTTATATTAGTTTATCGCTATTACGATTACGACCGTTTCTTTTTTACCGTGTTTATAATTGATATTCAATGTTATTCCGCTTTCTTCGATTCTATCCGTGAAAAACAACGATTGATCGTCGCGCGAATATCGTGCGATATAACTTGGAAGGCAAAAAATCGAACTCGTTTCATGCATGATTGATTCGTTTAAAGTCGTTCGAAAATCCCGCGCTCGAATTGATCTCTCATCCGGTCGTTGTTTCTAATTTAGACGAAGCGCGAGTATTCTCAAGGCCGGACCGTTTAACCGTTGCTCGAGTTACTCTACCGGCAACTATCGGCCGCTGGATTATGTATTATCAAAGGATAGAAAGAGAGAAAGATATACGCGTAGAATAGAAAGAGGAGAAAAGAGAAAGAACAATTGAAAATTTTGAATGGAATTTGGCAAAAAAACGAGATATTTGATCGGGAATGGAATAAATAATCGATAGAGAAGAAGCGGAGAAGAAAAAGAAGTGGAGCGACGATGCGAGGAAACAAAATGTCACGAAAGTGCAATGGAACGCGCATACGTATACGATGACGACGAGAAAACGAAAATTTGAAAGACTTACCATATAAAGTCCTTGCAATGACTGCAGAAGGTTGGTTGTTTGAAGAAACGAGGCATGAAACTGTGATTCTTGACCACGTAGACATTCTTTTTCTTCAAGGCTCCTTTTCGCCCTCGAATTTTCTTAGCGAATGCGGTGTTTGCATCGCCGGGCCCGAGGGAATCCTCGCACGTGTTGTTTGCTTCTTGATCGTCCGCCATCGCGCGCTCCACTTGTCGATCTTCCTACAGACCGATCGGGATGAAATTCCGATTCTTCGCTTCTACCCTTCCGTTGATTCTTCCCCAGTCAGCCGAAAGATGCACGCGCGTATACGAATCGACCCTTGACAAGGGGAAAAGCGAGCGATGTCCGAGCGAGTCAATCGCGATGCGCTCGGAAACGCTCGGAAACGAAGAGGGAAACGCGAGGAAAAGGTGAGGGAAAAGAAAGAAAAGAAATAGGAAAGAGAAAAATCCGTTTGTCGCGCGTCTGTCGGAACACTCTTAAAACGACGTGTCGTTTTTAGTATGGGTGTACGTGTGCGATGTGTGTACGAACGTATGTGTAAATATGGTGAGTGTGTACTCGATCGACGTGCAATAGGTAATGCACTTGTCACGGCAACTCGTGTCGAGACCGACGGCCACCGTCAACGACTCTGCTGCCCTCGCCGCTCGGTGCCAACACCGCCGCCACCTCTACCACCACCTTCGCCTCCTCCCACCATTGCCACTACCCCGTTTTCCATGTCTCTGCATCTCACATTCCCGCTTCACCTTCCCTTTCGTTCTTCCACTCTTCTTACCTATGCCGGTACGCGCGCGCGCGCGCTCACCTATGCTCCACGTCCTTAACCCCTTAACCCCTCCATCCTATCTTGCTCACCCGCACTTCTACTGCCTCTATTATTTTCTTTTTCAATTCAACTTCGCATCCCTTCTCTCTTTTTTCGAATACCAATTTTTCAATCTATTCCATTCCCCGATCCTTGCATTCTCCTCTTTCCATTTACCTTCGAATACAATAAAAGTGATTATTCCAGTCTTTCCTTCTCCTTCCGGTGAAATTTTCACCGTTTTTTCTTTTAGTTACGCATGTTTACGTCCATTCTTATGCTTTGTTCTTCTCCTCCCGTGCTCTTCTCTCTTCTCTTTTTTCCTACATCGTTCGTAAATTTCCCCTCTTTTACTCCCTCTCATTCCCTCGTATTTTCTCTCGACCCCTCTGCCGTTGCACATACCTTCCCCTCCCTCGAGCAGACCGATAATTTTAGATTCTCGGCGCAGTGGCTCGACATTGCTACTGCTCAGCCTGCGCCGCGCACTCGAATATCGACATTCGACATCCGCGAGAACCGCGAGCATATACGACCTCACCGAAACCCCGAGGGAGAGTTGCTACCTACGGTAGAGAGGGGGATATCGAATGCACTAGATAACCTTCTCCTTGTATTCCTGTTGTCTTGTCTCTTTTCTCCCTTGCTTCTCTATTGTTTATTATTTTTTTTTTACTGCTTCTTTCTTTCTTACATTCCAATCTTGATTTCTTACTGCATGTCGCTTCTCTAACGTGCCAAAATGTTGCAATCCTACTTCTATCTTTCATCTTTTATCTTTATATATT